CTACTTAAAATTTATGAAATATGTATAAAAATGTTACCCTACCCCACCCATTTTACCACGTGTCTGACCATTTGCCTACTTAGGGAGCCTAATTAAAAAACAACCTTAACATGTACCAAATGAGTGCCTGTTTTCAAAGTTTCCCTAATTTTTTAAAGAAGCATATTGGTTGATCTTGTAAAATATGAAATAATTTTATCGTCTGGTTTTGATTTTATTACACTTTGAAAATATCAGGTACCAAATTTATTACTAGATTTAGCATAATTTAGCCATATAAGTATAGCTATATAAATTGAAAAATCAAAATTAATCACTTTTTTCTTTCCAAATGGGACATGAGAGATACATAAATAATGTAAAAAATAAATGAAAAAAAAACAAGTTGACCCTTCTGGTGATTGAACCCACGGCCCTCATTTTCAAAGTAGTTAACAGTAGTTCTAGCCTATTTGAATACTCTTCAAAGCGGAGGTAATGCATTAGAATGGTAATACCTTAATGTTGTTCATGATTACTTTATGAACTATTCAATTTAAACAACAGCCAAGAGTTAGTCGAATATGGCAATGAATTGTAACAATAGCAACAGGAAACCCGAAGAACAAATTACTTAGAAATAGAATAAATGCAGCTTTAATGAAATTGTCAATAAGTAGGAGGCATATGACAGTAAATTTCATAAAATAACCCCGTGCGCGAGATTTATTGATCTAAACTAGTAAAGGTATCAGAAATTTATGTTACCGAATAAGTTTACATAAAGTGTTTCTTCCACTACAAATAATGATTTATTTCTTTTCTATTTATTTTCATTTTAACATTTAACAAATTATTTTTGGGCCCTTCCTTTGATTCTCGTAGCGAGGTCAAGATTACATGACGGAATGTGTATCGGTAAATTTCCTCTTATCAGTCCCGTCAAAAATACAAATACTAGATTTAATGTAAAACGCATCTGCAATAAGTATTCCAATTAATTTCATTGTCGGTTATTTTACTCAAGTGCCCGTTCGTGCCTGAAATAATGCAAAGAAGGGCACTTGGGATCTTCCTCCACCAGTAAAGCTGGAAAGTCGCCAAATTGTGTCGGTGTGAACTAAAGCCTAATTAATCAAACAAACAAACAAACTAAAAGTTGCTTTCATTTACCAATACCGTCCATGAACATTTTCAATACTTCGTGTTGGACTTTTTTAGGAATTCTATTTTCTCTATTGAGACCTACTTATGTATGTTGTAAGACGGTTTGTTGAATCTGTAAAATGTTTTTCGTGCAGTTAAGGGTCCTTAAATTACTTTATTGATATAATAAGAATTCGCATTTTCGTAGCTATTGGTTTTTGTATTTTCTTATTGCAGATCAGGAAATACAATGCTGACAATCCGACAATCCTAACACTAACAACAAAAAGTAGTTCTCACAAGTTCTTGTTACCAGTATCCAACGAAATATAACGCATTCAAAGCTTAAAAGTAGCTTTGGCTAATAGAATTGTCAATAAATGGACAATCATAAATTACGCGGACAAATATAATTTTAATCAATGAAAATCCGTAATGCTTCGGATTATTGTGATTGGAATTTAAAGTAAATGAACATTTGTTATTTAGACTTTCTCAAAAAATAATGTCAGGATATTTACTCTAGGAGAGGCAGTCGACGATCAATTTCTACTTACATAAAGTTAAACACCCGATTAACAAAGCTCTTTTTCTAGCAATGTCGATTATAGCCACACTGCATCGGGTATTACACAAATAAAATAAAGAAAGCCCAAAACGACAAAAATCTTTTTTAGCAAATACGATATAGTCATAATTTCTATTTTCTTTGCAAATTCAAGAAAATTAAATTTCCTCTCCGTGTAATATAAAGCACAATGAATAATAAAAACTCAACCCGCTTTGCTCCGTCGGTTAGAGCGCGAGAAATGTTATATTGAAATTGTGGGTCTGATTCCTCGATATTTCTGGAACTGGGGCATCTCTCTGTATCTTGCACAATCCGCCAAGATCTGAAATGACCAATACCTTTCTGTAAAACTGGTCGAATTGGGCATCTGGCAGCGGATCTAAATAATTTCAAATAGTTCTTCTACCAAAGTTGTTCAAATTTTGTCTCTGCTCAATTGGCCTTAACCCAAGAGGGGGGCATTGATTTTTCCTTTAACATCATAAATATGCAGTAAAAAGTAAAAATATTATAATATTAAAATATTATAAAATGGCTATTCGTGTTATAGTTGACATGAAATAATGTGTAGTGGACCTTAACCAAGAGTTAATAATTTCCCTACAGCGAAACGTGGCTTGTTATTCAAGTTATAAGTCCCGTACCGGTACAACTGGAGGGGACGTAAGGTTAAGCCACTTTCGTATTTCCGTCTGTCAATCCGTCCTTTCGACCACATAACTGGATCCCGTGATAACGCAAAAAGAATTCATTTTTTTTTTTATAAAATTTAAAATATGGTCAGATATTGAAAATGAAGCCTGGAGATTATACACGTTATTATTTTTTCTAATGTTGAAAAATCTATTGCTATGGCGACAACTAGACTTAAAATATGGCAAATATAACAATAATTGTGATAAATTAAAAAGGTCTAAACATATTTTTATGAAACATGAAATGTGGATATATGATAGTATTTAGATATGCACGTCAAGGTGCACAACTCTGGCACTTAAATAATCAGAATTACAATAAATTGATCTTGAATATATTTTCGTGAACAATTTTCTTTTCTGTATACTTAGGTATACCCTTGTCCGTTCGTCCATCCGTCCGTCCGTCCCTCCGTTCTCTTTTGTGTCGCACGTAAATCAAAAAGTATTTGACCTAGAGTCATGGAACTTTACCGGAATTTTGATCAGCATGTGTAGTTATGCACCTGGGTATTTTCGTATGGATTTAATTAGTATTTTAGAGTTATAACCCTTGACTTAGAAATTTTTTAAAATTTTTAACTTGTGTCGCATGTAACTCAAATAGGATTTGACATAGAGTCATGAAACCTTACGGGAATGTTGCTCAGCATGTGTAGTTCTGCAACTTGGGTTTCGCTTTTGGATTTATCAGGTATTTGTAGAGTTATTGCCCTTGATCATGACTTAGTAAAAATCGTTTCATTGTGTTGTTTTATTTGTTCCTTGAGTGCTTGAGGAAGATTCAACAAACTTAACAGGAAAATAATCAACATCACTAAATTACAGGAATAACGATCAACATCACTGTGAAGCTATGCACCTGGGAATTTGCATGTGGACTTTTCAGTTGTGTTAGAGTTATTGCCCTTGATTTACAGTAGCATAAATTTGCAATTATTAACTTGTTCATACATAGCTCAAAAAGTATTTGACTTGTAGGCCTGAAAGTTTACAAGAATTTTTGGTCAGGATGTGTTCTTATGCACCTTGGGGATTGCTTGTGGATTTATTCAGTATTTGTAAAGTTTTTGCCCTTTACTTAGTAAAAAAGTTTTAGTTTTCAACTTGTGGCAAATGTAGTCCAAAAATATTTTATTTAGAGTCATAAGATTGACAAAACAGTGGCGTGTGGGGTTACATGTGTCCTATGGACACATTTCTAGTTTCTTAATGAATTTACTTCAAAATTCAACAATATGTTCAGTATCAATATCATATGCAATTAGCGTTATAAGTCAAGAACATCGATTCCATGACTTGTTTTTCATTTTACCTTGGGACTGTTTTTGAACTTGTTATTTTTTAAAATGTTTTCTGTGTTACTGTAAATTGTATCTTCATTGTACATTAGACTTAAGCAAATTGTTCTTTCCCATCACTTACATCATGTATGACAATGCTCATAAAATAAGCATCTTTATTTCAGCTTTAGTTTAAGAATTTTGATTCTAAAAATGTTATTTTCTGGTTACCAACAGTAATGTTTAAATATTTGCTCTCTGTCTGTAGGTCGGTTCCTCAAAATACTGCTGAAAATGGAGAAAAATTGAAACATTTCTAATACATAAAAATGGGTCTTATGATTATGTGTCGTATATAACATAATTGCCATTTAAACATTTATCAATTAGTGCACACAGTTAAGCACATAAAGTGTCATTCCGATTTACACATTGATAAGGGGTTATCTCAACCCTAGGAGAAGAATTTCATAAGACATGTTGTCTTTCATTCTAATCCTGTTTTTTAAGAATTTTAGAATTGCTCTATGTATATTGTAAATTGTAACATATATATCTTTTAGGGGCCTCTAAAACGAAAAAATGAAAAAAAAAACTTTGAACATCATTTACTTGTGAAAAAATTAGTACATATAATAAAAAATTAAACAATCTTCTAATCTTAAGGTACAATGCATCGAGCTTTGCTGTTTGCTATATAATATCATCAATAGTCCTCCACCAAAGTTGTTCAAATGTTTCCCCTGATGTCAAAATTTGCCCTGCCAGGGGGCATTGATTCTCATTATGTAAACATAGTAAATCACAAACTAAAACAAATGTTTGCTACAGCTTAGATATTTGACATGAAATATTGTTTGGTGGACCTGTATCAAGATTGTTTTGAATTAAACCCTTGGGTAAAAATTTGGCCTTGTGCAAGAGGACAGTTACCTACCTTTTTGTCCTTTGATGTATAGCAATATAATTGTGACCATGTGCACAGTCTTAGATTTTGATGATGTGACCTACTTTCTTGTCTTAAGATGTACAGCTATGAAATTTGAACCATGTGCACAGATTAAGATGTAAAGTGAACTTTGATATCAGCTGACCTAGATTTTGACAAAGTGTCTTACTGTGCTGTCCTTTGATGAAGTCATGCAATTTAGGCTGTGTGAAATATTACCTTCACCACCAAATTCACTAGACTCCACTGCATTGATCTGTTACTGTTAACGATTAATACCCATCTCCTACAGTATGTGAGCAAGTCATCTAAACTTGTTGTAATCCTTCTACATGATATACATTAATTGAATTGACACTTCATATTTTTGATTTAAGGAACCTTAGAAGATGACCCAGCTAATCAGAAAAATTATATGATGGCTACAGCAGTGCCGACAGTGCCGACAATGCAGACAAAATTTTCAAATTCAAATTTTTTTAATTGGATTAAGGCTGCAATTGCCATTTTATACATTAAAGAGGAAATAGAGCCAGTTATTGTTAATGAAGTCAAAGATTTCCAGCAAAACTCTCTAAATACTATTTCCTCGTCAAACAGCCTACCAGCCGGAAGCACCTGTTTAAACTGCTGTACGGAAAATCTGATTTTTTGTCCAACAAACAGCATTTGCAACGTTAAACGTGGAACATGCAGTTACCATAAAAACGCTGCAACACAGTATCGCCCATCTGGCTGCCCGAATAAAGTTTGTCATCTTTTAAAATCTGAGATTCAAAGGGCACATCGATATCATGGTCCGTCATATAAAAATACGGACGCAACAAAATGGTGCAGCAATGCCTGGGAAATTGCCAAATGTTATCTCCCGCATGACGGATACCAGGATGTATCGAACGCTGGAGATACTGATTTTAATGGCATCATTAGTGTCATTATTAATCACAAAGGATTTGAGACGAAAATAAAAGACGACTTGTCCAAGAAGAATAATATATTTGACAAGGTAACAGTTAAATAATGAGATTTATATTTATTGTATATTTAATTTGGTTTCTAAATTTTCTTTAATTTCACAAATGTAAGCTTCATATTAGGAAACAATAAAGATCATATGAGTCATCATTGAAACAAGTATGAACGAGCAATTGACTACATGACACCGTTTGGTTGTTGTTTTGTTGTTTCATGTCACAGTCTGTCCATCTTTGTACTGTAAAGACGTGCTCTACAACTGTCATAACGAAATTTGTTGAATTTATCGTTAACATGTATTGGTCAAAGAAATATCATATCTGAACTATTCACTTGATCAAACTGTATTAACATATTTAAATTTAGGGTAGAGATGTTGGTAAAGCTGTCAGACATTCTCCTAATCTGGAGGTCGAGGATACAGATCTAACACAGTATTTTACCATTTTAAACAATATTTTGACGGATCCTGGATTCATAGCAATGAATAAATCACCAAACAATGCAATTCAAAAATTGGCAAAGGTAATCATTTTTGTTTCTATTTTTGACATCGACTTAACGAATAAAAGTGAGGTTATCCTACTCAACGGGGTCATCACTAAGCTATTGGCTATTCGTATACACCATTAACACTATTTTCAGAACTGCCAAAAGTTTTTACTTGAAACTTAGCACCTTTTTTTTAGATCAAAATGAGAGGTTATAAAATAACTTTGAAAAACAGCGGTATTGCCTTTAAGGTTATTTATCAAACAAACGCTTTTCAGCTGCATCAAGAGTAAACCCACCAACAAACGTAACTTAATTGGTATATTAATTATGTAAAAAAATGTTAAAAAAACAATCAGTATGTCAAATGTTAATTTGTTATTCTGGCATTATTTCCTAGTTCCCAAGAAATTAATTTTCTAAAACACATTTGAAATTGTTTGTTGACTGTTTTTAAAAATAATCCATTCAAAATGAAAATCTGACAAAGAAACTTATTAATAAATACTCGTATTAATATCGTTTTGAAATGCTATATGCCAATCCTTACATTCCTAAATTACTTAATAATAAATGTTTCAAATTGTTCCATATTAGGAAAGGCTAGGGCAATCCGTATATAAAATAAAACATTTGGAAAAAAACGCTATAAAATAAAAAAGATAAATATTAACTTAATTGCATGAAAATGTATGAAATGATGTACTATACATGTAAATGACACGGTATTCTGTAAAAATTGATAATAAATAGTTCGATGCACTCAATCCTTTCTCCATAATTTCAGCTTCAAAGTGACGATTTGATCATTGGAAAAGACGTTGTACGTAAAGTTTTGGAAGATGTGGGAAAAACGATTCAGGAACAAATAAGAAATGAGATGGATGAGTACAAACAGGAGACTGAAAAAAGAAAATTAGAGCTGATTGACATAATTAACTTAAAAGTAAAAGATATTGAAGATAAGGGAAATGTTTCACTTGCCAAGCTGAATGATGCGATAAACTCGTCCATTGATGCTTTTGATGCTAAGGTAAAACAATCGATTCAGGAGATAGAAAACTTGGCAAGAAAAGGAAAAGAAACCCTTGAAAGTGTTGCCAATGATGGAGTTCAAACTGTCAACAAAGAAAAGGAAAATGCAATAAAGGAGATACAAAAAGCTGCAGAAAAATGTAAGGCATTATTTAAGTTATCTAAGCCTACATATGTTCTTACAAATCTAAGCTAATTAAAGTAACAAAATGCACGTTTTACAACCTACACTTTCCTTATTCAAATAATTCTTCTTATTATTTTTATGGCATTAATGATAATAATCATATGTTTATTTTCTTTGAGTTCACACTTTATCGTCATGCATTATCTTTATCATAATATGTTTTCAGCCAGAGGTAACGATGCCCATGCCGAGATCTCCGAGGAAACATATCAAAAGAAGAAAAAAGGTAAAAAAAGCAATCATAACTTTATCACCATTATTAATAATATCACAAGCTCAACATTAACATAAATGCTAAAAATCATGCTTATCGTTCTTAGAAGAAACATCATAAAGGTAAAAACATTTTGAAGAACACGCTTCGTATTTCATTATGAGTATAAGGTCTTGTATATATTTTATGCACATGAAAATATTAAAAAAACGATAGCTGTAATATATATTTAATATATAATATAAAGAATATATATACCATGGAATTATCTTCCTACCAAATATGAAAGGCATTTGTCCATAAATAAAGGCTATATGAGCAAATGTGTAAACAACTATTTTAGCACTTGTACCCTTGACCACAATGACTTTAAACTCAATCCAAAGGAAGAAGACCACGCAAAATATTATCCTACCAAATATGTGTGTTATTTGATTCAGGATGCCAATAATAGATTCCTTCACATTTTTTTAAACAGCCTTTATTTTTGACTGAGGTTTTTCATAATTTTAACCATGAAAACTTGAATCTTTAGGGGTCAGTTTGATCTATGTCAATAGTGCTAAAAATGATTTCTACTCCTTTGTCCATACTGCTGTTACTTATGTACATATGCTTCATATTTGGTAGGAAAATATCTTGCACGGTCTTCTTCCTTTGGGTTAAGTAAGAGGTCAGTGGATGAAGGTCAAAAGTGCCAAAAATAGTTTCTGACACAGTGGCTTTTACATCCTTTATTTATTGACTGATGTTTATTATATTTGGAAGGAACATATCTTGGATGGTCCGGTGTTGGGAATAACAAGATTAATGAAATTGATTCTAACAGTAGATTTCTTACAATTTTTATACAGCCTTTGTATATTTTTTCAATGTCTTTACAAGAAACATACCTTAGGTTTTTCTTCACGTTTGGTTGGAGTTTTTTGGCACTGGGTTAAAGGTTAAGGCTTGCATTTATGTATATTTGATAAAATTGAATATTTTTTCAACTTCATCACTAGTCATTACAATGACTTACCAACGTACATCAATCACAGAAAGTTCAAATGTCGTACAAGTTTGACATTTTATACAATTTCCTTTTTTCACATGAATATGCGCAATGCAAGATTGAATATATAAGATATCACAAGGGCCAGGTAATGAATAAAAGTTTGGCGGTGATGCAACTAGAGCTAGACACATGTCAGAGAGAGCGGTAATAGGTTCTATTTCAAAATAGAAGGCAAATTACAAGACACCTTACACTTTATTTACTTTGCACATCCGATACAGCTATATAACGTTGTGAGCGTAAAAAAGTCTGGATCCAGTGTACTATGGTTCTAGAGAGAATTTCATATGGAAACTTGGCAATGAATTTCTACAAAAAAGACTCAGCACCAACATTTGGAATGTTAAACTTTCGGTCAACGTCCGAATTTTGATGGATGTGCATGTTATAAGGAGGCACTTGTTTACAAAATACCATCTGTACTTAAAAATGCGAGAATTTGCATTTTACTCCAATCAAGGTTTATATTTTACTTGTAATCATGTTGTATACGTAATCGATTCAATAAAGAATGCACCTACAGTAACATTATTATTTGATCCTTAAGTTTAGATAAGGAATTTGCTGACGAAAAGGTACCAATCTTTATGCATTTGAATAAGTAATTCAATTAATGTGGTATAAACATGAAAATATTAAATATATAGAAAGTTGGTTTGCTAGAGCTATCAGTGGTGATTTAATTTTACTTGATGACCATGACATGCGTGTTTGGGTCAATTGAAATCTGTAGAACATATATTAAATATCATTTATTGACACCATTTATGGACATATTTCAGAGTGACAATCTACCTTGCAAGACCTTACCCAGTGATAATTATTAAATTAGCTTGGTATCAGAGATGATTTAAACAACCTTGATAAAGGGGCTTATCAATAATCAACATTATTTTGAGCAGTTCTATGCTACTTAAACATTGCACATCATTTTGTTGCCTTTTAATTTGTTAACAACATTTCCGATTTGTTGTGCCACCAAACGGTCCTTATACTTTTTAATTGTCTGTCCGTCTGTTTGTTAGATGTAACGTTTTAATGGCTTTAGAGCCTATTAAGTTCCCATCACCGGAATGAAGAAGCGCTAAATAAATAAATTGATTTTACAAGATGAAAACAAAATATTACCTTGACTTCCACGAACAGCAATTATTATTTGCAACCCCATTAAAATCGATTTACGGGGTTGTAGAATTAACCGAACGATTTGTAGATTACCCTATTTATTTGGGGTCATTAGATTAAAGGTCAAGGTCACATAGGGCCTTAAATGTCAAAATGGTTTCCGCTGATTATCTTGAAAAGTATTAATCACAAAGTCTTCATATTTCAAAAATTGATTGTTCATAAGTAATAGATAATGCCTGTTAATTTTAGGGTCACTAGGTCAAAAATCAAGGTCAAGGGGGCCTTGAATGGTAATATGATTTCGCTTATTATCTTGGTTCCTATTTATCACGAAGTCTTCATATTTCATATATTGATTGGTCATAACTTGTAGACGACCCCCCTATTGATTCAAGGGTCACTAGGTCAAAGTTCAAGGTCACAAGGGCCTTAAATGTCTCTGAATGATTACCGCTGATTATCTCAAAAAGCATCCACCACAATGTCTTCATATTTCAAATATTGATTGATCATTACCAGTAGATGACCCCTGTTGAGTTTTGGGTCATTAAGTCAAAGGGCAAGGTCACAGGGGCCTTGAATGGTTATATAATTTCCGCTAATTATATCGGTTACTATTTATTACAAAGTCAACGTATTTCACATACTGATTTGACATACATAGTAGGTGAACTCTATTGACTTTGAGGTCACTAGGTCAAAGGTCAAGGTCACATTGAACTTAAATGTCTGAATGCTTACCCCTAATTATCTTGAAAGGCATTCATCACAAAGTCTTATATTTCACATATTGATTGCTCATAGATATGAGATGACCCCTAGTGATTTTGAAGTCACTGGGTCAAAAGTCAAAGTTAAAAGGGCATTAAATGGTTTTATGATCCGCTTATGGTTACTATTTATCATAAAGTCAACATATTTTACATATTGATTGGTCATAGATAGTAGATGAACCCTATTGATATTGGGGTCACTAGGTCAAAGGTCAAGGTCAAATGGGCCTTGAATGTTAATATGATTTCCGCTTATTATCTTGCTTACTATTTATCACAAAGTCTTCATTTTCATATATTGATTGGTCATCATTAGAAGATGACCCCATTGATTTTAGGGTCACCAGGTCAAAAGTCAAGGTCACAGGTGTTTGCATGATAGTATGATTTCAGCTTATTCTCTTGAAAGATAATTATCACAAAATCTACATATTTCATAGTGATTTGTCATAACAGACAGATAACCCGTATTGATTTGGGGTCACGAGATCAAAGGTCAAGGTTACAGGGGCCTTAAATGTCAGAATGGTTCCCGCTGATTATCTTGAAAACTATTTTTCATCTTGCTTCATATTTCACATACTGATTTGTCATAACTAGTACTGACCCCTATTGATTTTTGGGTCACTTGGTCACAGGGTTCTTGAATGTTAGTATGGTTTCCGCTCTTGAAAGCTATTGATCACAAAATCTTCATATTTCTAATATCATTGATCGTCATTATTATTAGACGACCCTATTGATTTTGGGTCAATAGTTCAAAGGTGTAGGTCACAGGGGCCTTAAATGTATCATTATCTTGAAAACTATTTATCACAAAGTCTTCATTATTTTTCTTTTTTCCATAATTGAACACTTCCATGTACCCATTTATGGCAAGTATCTGTAACAAAATTACCACTTATGTGAGGTAAGTGCTTATGTGTCGTTAGACATTTCTTGTAATATTTATGCTTGAAAATTTCATTTCAGATAGTGTGTTAGTGATTCTATGAGTACTGTTTGCTTTTGTATTGTACATAAAATTTTTCTGATCAAGCATCTGAAATTCTAGTTTCTGCCCTAATTTGGTCAGATATACTTATTTTGACTGATTAAGATAGATTATATTTTACGCTGAAGAGAAAATATTGCATGGGTATATCTGATGATGTTTTATATTGCAAGGTATCATTTTCTTCACTTTGATAAAATACTGACTAAAATAGAAATTAAGTTCTACACCGATGAATGCGATTAGCAAAATTTGTAATAAAGCAGAAACAAGAATTCGTAATAATGTTAATTATGTTAATGTGTTTTTTTTCCTATATAGGTCATATATATGAGATATCTTATTCTTTTCTGTTTAAACTAGTCCCTGTTATGTCGAAAGCGAAACGTTTAAAGACATAGTCTTTCATTTTTACTGGTAACAAAGAGAATGTTCGTATTGTAAATTGTTTTTAGGTATTTATTGTTGTTTTTAGCTCGACTATTCGAATAATATGGAGAGCTATTGCAGTCGCCCTGGAGTCGGCGTCATCGTCGCGTCGGCGTTTGCGTTGGTTAAAGTTTTGTGTAAACTCAAATTTCTCAATCATTGCTTGAGATATTCAATTGAAACTAACAATACTTATTTATAGTAACAATGTACATCAGATTGACAAGTTGGATAACTCCGCCTACAATATTTACAGAATAATGTCACTTTTTAACTAAGAAGTTTTGGTTCAAGTTTTTTGTAAAGTCAAATATCTCAATTATTGCTTGAGATATTCAATTGAGATTTACAAAAATTTTTATAGTAACAATGTACATCAGTTTGCAAAGTTGCATAACTCTGCTTGCAATATTTGCCGAATTATGCCCCTTTAAAACTTAGAAATTTTGGTTAAAGGTTAAAGAAGTCTTAAAAACTATCAAAGAAATGTTCTTGAAACTTTACTCATGTACTTAGGGTCATAATTGAATATCTATATTGTTCTGTAGCCTGATAGAGATGTATGTCACCTAAATACACACCCACCTAAACATGTGATTTCCTGCTTGCAATGAATCGGATAGTAAAGGTAATTAGCATCGTTATAATTTTTTAGGGAACCCATTATATTCAGCACCGGGGCAGACGAATGTTTTACGTCACTGTACATACCGCAATCATTTAGTGAATAACTGGATAGTGACGATAGAGAAATTATATGAATATATAGAAATGACTATAAATATAAAATTTCTATTAATAAAATATAGTAAATG